TTTTGGTTTATTTGAAATTATAACTTGCGGTTCGTAACGAAAATTTGACTCGAAACACCAAGTGTGTGGTATCAAATTATTCGTAAAAAAATGCTTTTTCTAAATATGCTAATAAGCCACCCTAGTTCAATTTCAAAAAATTGAGATATGATTAAACATACGATTTGGGCATTTTTTTAATCGGCCAGGACAAGACACTAAAAACATTAGACGATCAAATCTATTTTTCCAAGGCTTCTTGATTAAAAATTAGTGTTTTTAACACAGCCATGGCACTGTAGATTTAAATTTAAAATACGATTTTTTATTAATCAAGAATGTCAAAAGTTGACATATGATATGTTATTCTATTCGGAATGTCATTTTCTATCGAATAAAGAAGAAAAACCCTATGGTGCCATTTAAAAATCAAAATTTGTAGTCATTTCCCGTGAAACAGGAAGAGACCAAAAACAATTGAATACGTCAATCAATCCTAATTTATGTCATATACTAACATACCAAATCTTGATTTTTTATCTGAAAAAATAAAAAAGTTATAGGGGGTGAGCCACTTTTGAGACGCATCCGGTAAAGTCTTTCTTCTAAATGGTGCCACCTACATGTTTTTTAATTAATTTGAAGCGTAATAACTTTTCTTCCGTACCTGTAAAAAACTATTGTGTAAAAAATATACATTTCCTTAATTTTTACGTAAAAAATGTCTTTTGATAACAAGCAAAGGGAAGGGGTAATGGGGGTAATTACCCCCCTCCCAGACAGATCAAACTTCAAAAAATAAGTTTTTAATACGTAAAAAATAGTTTTTTTTTGCGTGAAACAAATAGTTTTAACGCGTAAAAAAATAGTTTTTTATGCGTAAAAAATAGTTTTATACGCAAACGTGGTTTTTTTACACGCAAAAACTATTTTTTACTTGTAAAAAACTATTTGTTCCACGTAAAAATTATTTGTTACACGTAAAAATTATTTGTTACACGTAAAAATTATTTGTTACACGTAGAAATTATTTGTCACACGTAAAAGTTATTTGTTACTTATAAAAATTATTTGTTACACGTAAAAATTATTTGTTACACGTAATTTTTTTTTAAGCGTAATAAATATATTTTTTAGTTTATTCCTTTTTCAACATTTTAAACTACACTTTTTCAAATATGCCCTTCAAATCCCTTCAATTTAATAACTGTTAGTAAGAAGTTTCATTTCAAATATACGCACGTAGTGCACACACAATTTTTTTTATTTAAAATTACCCCCCTAGATTTTTTTTCTAAAACCGCCCTTGCCTGATTAAAATCGCTACTAGCAATCAAGATATTTGGAATGGAATTAGTGTATACATGTCATTATCGACAAAAACTAGACATTTTGACTAAAACTGATATGGTAAATTTGGGAACTCTTATTTTTTAAGCTAATCATAAATTTTTCTAGAAATAAGTACGATAAGAAAGTTTCTGTTGAATCTTTTACAGAAAAACATTTCAAATTTATTTTTGCAGATTAATAACTAAATCCCGCCAACATGAGTAATTATATATTGTCAGTTATGACATATATTGATTATTTTGATTCCAAATATATTGAGAACTATTACTCGTAGCGATTTTTACCCAGAGACTTTTTCACGTAAAAAATGACGGAAATGTATATTTTTTCACTCAGTAGTGTAATACAGGTACGGGCGAAAAGATTACTCCTCAAAATAGTTAAAAATATCTAGGTGGCGTCCTCTACAAGCAGGAGTCATACTGACATCTAAATCGAATTTCTCATGTCAAAAAACTCCCAGACACAAATTTTAATGAATTATCGACGTTAGTTAAGAACTTATTTGGAAAAAATCGAAATATAAATTAAATTTCTACACCCTGTATCTCCGAAACGAAGCTTTTTAATTTAGGAGATACATAACATTTATACTATTTTTTTTACTTATTTTTATCTGGAGAATATACTGCCGAAGTCTCCCGAATACAATTGGGACCACCCTGTATAAAAATAAACCAAAATGAAGGAGTGTCGTTTTATAAACAAACTGGTTAAATTGCCGTCGGCCGGCGCAGCAGTATGGATATTTGAAATAAAGACTGCCCTTAGACGGTTTAAAATATTTATTAATATTGAATACAGCCAAAAAACGAGATAACTTTTTCAAGTGCCGGCAATTGTTGGTAAATATACAGGGTTGTTCACCACATACGACACGGAATATTGTAGCTAAACGATTAGATTTTTACAAATTGTAAGTTTTAGGTCCGTTGAAGGACTATTAGAGCTACAATTTAAAAATATTTTTACAAGATACAGAGTGTCCCAAATGAATAAAAAATATCAAAGTTGTATTTTTTTAAATGGAACACCCTATATATTATTACATTTTTAGTTTCTACGATTAAAATAAAGGTAAATTTGATTAAGGTTTATTACACTTAAACCTTACCGTTTTTGAAATATTTTCAATTTTGCGAAATTGCAGTATAAATTTTAAGGCTTCATTTCTGTGAGGGTATCAAAGTTTTTAATACTAAATATTTACTGAAGTTTATTTATTGATCGGTTATTGTGTTGCAAAAATAAAAACTTTACTACCTTATACAGAGTGTCTAAAAATTTATTTTAAATAATTACTAGCTTTAAACGGCAATAACTTGTTTAATTTAAGTGGAACACCCTGTATATTTTATGAGAATCAGATGCACAATTTAATTGTCTATCAAATTGTATTATACCATTTTTTACCTATCTCTTAAAGTTTCCGTAGAAAATGCATTTTCTTGTAATTCAGAACTCATTTATCAATATACCCATGGAATAGTGACATTTTTTTTTTGACAGATTATTTTTAAAGATGTACCAAATTTTTAAAGAGTACAGATACTAATATTGTCGATATAGTTCGTTTATTTCATTAAAAAATAAAAAAGCTGTTTAAATATTTTTTGTTAAAGAGGACCAATTAATATGATTTCAGTATTCAAACTACATTAATTGACTGTTTGCGTTGATTAATAATATTTGCTCCCAATACTAAAAAACTGAATTATGTATGTGTATTAGACAGTGTGGTTAAAACTAACACCTTAAAAATGATATTTAATTTTTTGACAAATGGTTATTTATAATAACAGAGACGTTCATTTTCATAACTTATTATTATATTGATTTTTGATTCAAATCCACATTTATTTAAAATAATTCATTAACGAACACAGTTAAGTACGTGTTAATTAGTATTTGGGCGGAAATACTGGTGGTATATTTAATTAATGGTATACTCTATTATAAAGATTTAAATAGTTTTCTTTTTGCATACAAATGGGCTAGTAATATTATCGTTTTACTAAAAACGAAAACATTGTACATTTTGCACATTTGTTGTTTTAAAAACAATCTAAAATGTCAATATTCCATGGGTATATTGATAAATGAGGTCTAAATTATAAGAAAATGCATTTTCTACGAAAACTTGAAGGAATAGGTAAGAAGTGGTATAATACAATTTGATAGACAATTAAATTGTGCATCTGATTCTCATAAAATATACAGGATGTTCTATTTAAATTAAATAAGTTATTGCCGTTTACAGCTAGTAATTATTTTACTAAAAACGATAATATTACTAGCCTGTACATTTTGCACATTTGTTGTTTTAAAAACAATCTAAAATGTCAATATTCCATGGGTATATTGATAAATGAGGTCTAAATTATAAGAAAATGCATTTTCTACGAAAACTTGAAGGAATAGGTAAGAAGTGGTATAATATAATTTGATAGACAATTAAATTGTGCATCTGATTCTCATAAAGTATACAGGGTGTTCTATTTAAATTAAATAAGTTATTGCCGTTTACAGCTAGTAATTATTTAAAATAAATTTTTAGACACTCTGTATAAGGTAGTATAATTTTTATTATTGCAACACAATAACTGATCAATAAATAAACTTCAGTAAATATTTAGTATTAAAAACTTTGATATCCTCGGAGAAATGAGGCCTTAAAATTTATACTGCAATTTCGCAAAATTGAAAATATTTCAAAAACGGTAAGGTTTAAGTGTAATAAACCTTAATCAAATTTACCTTTATTTTAATCGTAGAAACTAAAAATGCAATAATATACAGGGTGTTCCATTTAAAAATACAACTTTGAATTTTTTTATTTATTTGGGACACTTGTTTTTATTTATTTGGGTATCTTGTAAAAATATTTTTAAATTGTAGCTCTAATAGTCCTTGAACGAACCCAAAACTTACAATTTGTAAAAATCTAATCGTTTAGCTACAATACTCCGTGTCGTATGTTAGGAACAACCCTGTATAAAAATACCGCTCAGTGGTATAATTAAAAAAAAACGATATACCGCCCTTACTGTTGGTGGGCCTTAAAGTTAGGTTAATATAGGGTAGCCAACTTTGAAAATAAAAAATAAAAGGCGAGAGGGTAAAAAAGGCCGCAGGCGAAATATTTTTTGAAACCTCGCCCAAATGGTATCGTGAATTTACCTTGCAAGCCTTATGCAGTTGATGGTCTTTGTTACTTTCTTAAAATTTTGTACTCACAATTTGTTAAAATAGAACGAACGATTTTCTATAAAATTTTATTTCAAAACACGAGCTAACAGTATGTAAACAAAAAAAGCTAAACATGAATCGCGTCCACAAACGTTTATTGTACATAAATATTTCTTTTCTGTACAAACGAGGGGGAGTAGTAAAAAATACGCTGTTGCTAAATTAACAATTTTATAAGAATTTTGGCAATAGACGAATAATTTTTATACATTGAGTTTGGGGCATAAAAAAGAGGACATTTTCAATACAATACAATGAGAGAAAAGAGGAAAGCACGATCAAAAAGAGGACTGTCTTCGGGAATAGAAGACGGTTGGCAACCCTAGGTTAATGTCTAGTTGTAGCTCAGCAAGCTTTAGCAATCAAAGCACGCTTACAGCTGTAAGCGTGTTTTGGTGGCTAGATCATAATAGTTATACCTGTACTCTTCTTCTTGTCCTTTTGTTTCAGGTTTTTGCTGAATAGAATTGGGAATAAAGAGACTGTACGGTGGTGGTATCAAAGGAAGGTGAAAATAGTTTCTGTTCCCGAAGCTATCCTTAGCAGCTGAGAAAACAATGGGATTAATCGGGAATCTCGGCGGTATGAACTGTGGTAGAGATCGAGGTGCATTCAGATGAAATCCTGCAGTAAATTGGCGCTCTTGGTTTCCATACTGTTTAGAGGTCTGAAACTGTAATATAATTGCAAAAAAATACTGACTTAATAAATAAATAATAGTAAATAATAATAAACTTTCCGAACTACCGTATGATCAAAAAAAAAACGGCGTCATCGATGGCTATGAAATGAAGATTACTGTCATTTTGTATGTAAAATTAAATGGGGAATATCATCGATTGTCATTACTAATCCCAACTGGACGTTGTTGTTTTTTTCGATCATACGGTATTATAAAAATGGGAAGTAGTGTATCTGTAGGCCATATGAATATGATGTCAAAGATAATGGATCAATAATCTTTATATAATAACATACTTATTTGTAATAATTTGGATTATTTTTTTTTTTAAAATAATCAATCATTAGATTACGGACATTTTAAAATTATTAAATACTAAATAATAGGAAATAAAAAATCTGTTTTTAATGTCAGTTTTTTTATTATTTTACATTTTTTTTTGAAACAAAACTTAGTTTGGTTAGTAAACTTGGGAACTGGATTATTATAATAAATTTGACAGGGAAACGTCGCATCGAAAAACTTTTATAAGAAAAGTTTCCTTCATTTTAGCAATCACCTACTGATTTCTTTGCACATATTAATTTACATTCTGTGTATTATCAATATTTATTAAATATTTTCTTACCTGTCCAGCGAAAATCGGAAACCTAGTTTCCTGTTTATAACTTCCAAACGGAAGTAGTTCCTGCGAGTTGATGTCAACAAAAGTCAGCACCATGGCCAGCAACAAGAGGTGCCAGGATCTTAAAATTCCCTTCTGCAAGAGAATTATTAGAGCTTTAATTATTGTGAGTCCTCAGATGGTTAACGCAATTTTTATCGAGATTAAAAATTTTAAAGATAGAGCAAATTTGTTAAATTTATTTAAACAATGTTTTATTTAATTATTGAGAATTATTATTGAATTGTTTATCTATATATATTTTTATAGCGTAACAATTTAAAAAATATATATTTTACTTGTGTACCTACGTATTTATAATGCTGCTGCAAATTCTAAATTTTTTATTTTAATGTTAGTGTTTTTTATCAATTTTAATAGTTTCTTTGTAAAATTAGTTTTTTTAAATATTGTTACTTTTACATGTTCTATATGTCTAATCGACCTTAAACAAACTTATTTTAAAATGTTAGTTATTTGGAACAAATAAAATTATATCATCGAATATTCTGTAGTTATACATACAACAAGAACTAGACGTATTAACATCCACTATATATCTACAGGGTCCGCCAATAGTGCGTCGGGCATCTGTAACTCCTTGAATAAAAAAATTAGGAATTTTATTTAAATATAGACCGAGAAAGTATGTATTAGGATGTATTTCAAGAAAATATTTTAATTTCTATATGGTGGCTCAAAAAAGTATGAGTGATGGATTGTCATGTTTTTTTTTAAATGGAACACCCTGTATATTATTGCATATTTGGCTTTCTTTCTGATCACTTTACGAAATCCTAAAATAATATTAGATATACTTTTGATAGTGTAAGAGATATTTATAAATAAATTCAAAAAAAATTCAGTCTTATAAAAAATATATCAGAAATACAAGAAAGTAACTTGTAACGAAGACTTGTATTTTCAAAAACTTTTTTAAAAAAGTTAAAAATTTTTTTTTTATCAATTCTAAAATCTCTCTTGAGTATACGACATGAAGAACTAAAATGATAATAAATGAATTTGGAGGACGTGGAAATATTGCATTAACTTTCTGAGAAAATTTCTGTAGGCATTATAATGTCAAAAAAATGGATTAATAACTTTTATATAGTAAGTTACTTATTTGTAATAATTATGATTTTTTTTAATAATCAAACATTAGCTTAGGTTAATTAATATTCCGATATTTTATAAAATCAAACTAAATACCTATTCGCAATAATCACAACCAAACAAATGTTTTAAAAAAACTTACGGTACGCGCTGCTTTTTCGGGTTAATTCTAAAAAGCATACATTGGTTTTCTCTACATTAAGTATTTTAATTATATTATGTAGGATATGTCTTGCATGCTCTCCAATTGTGTAATTATTTTAAGAACATAAATGCACAACAAAGGTAAAATTAGTAGAACTATTTCTTATATATTTTTCTTAAATCTGTTGAGCCTATAAGCAATTGGTCGTGCTTAGTCATGTTTACATTTACATTTTATAGTTTTATACAAAATATACATTATTAAAACGCATGAAATCGAGAAACCATAAATACTTTAATCATAGTTTAATAATTAGCTAATAACTGAATAACTGGTTATTATATAGATTTATGAATTGAATTTTCTTACATTACGATTAATTTTCAATTAATCAAGCCGTGTTTTTCGATGATATTTATTATTTATAATAATGTATGCAATATACAGGGTGATCTATATCCTTACCAACAAAAATAAATACATTGTCAAACAATTCTGATGTGGCCCGTAAGATACTCATGCGAAAAGATTTTATTTGATACAATAGTAGTGATGAGCAACTGCACGACCAATATTAAAAAAAGTATACTTTGCCAATACCAAGACCAAGACTCCCCCTTGAACTTGGTCTTGGTAAGACCCTTACAAGTCTTGCATTTTTCAACAGATTCTTACTAGAGGCACTTTCAACATAGAAAATATTTATATTTGATACATCTTAAATATCCCATATGGAAAAACAAACATTTGAGTACAGAATGTAAGTCAAGAATATACAAAACCTGCATACGACCAGTGATGACATATGGTGCGAAAACCAGAGCCGAAACATCAGTAACAAAGAGAATCCTACGAACTACTGAAATGAAGACCTTAAGAATGATAACTGGATACACATTGAGGAACAGACAGAGAAATGTAGACATAAGAGAGAAGTGCCAAACAAACGACGTTGTCAGATGGATAAGGCAGAGAAGAAGAGAATGGAACCAGCATGTCAATAGAATGGGCCCCGACAGAATGGCCATAATAATTCGCAGCAACGTACCCCATGGCAGAAGACCTACTGGACGACCACCTAAACGTTGGCAAGACAGTTGGCAGTCAACCTCGCAAGAGTTGCTTAGACGAGGAGGAAACCGGAACTAAACAGGCGATACGCCTTCTAAAAGAAGAAGAAGAAGAAGAAGAAGATATCTATTAAACTTTTAGTTAGGTAATCGAGGGCGCGATTTTTAAATTCATTGTTGCCAACCATGGACATGCCGTGCTGACTAACTGGAATTGAAATTTTGCGCTGGGGATGCAGGTGGTAGCTCTGCTGGGAAAGATGTCAAGTTGCCGCATTTATTTATTAATTTCCTGACGTTGTCATTCGTTTTAACACTTTAGTTTTGTGTTACGATTTTTGGTTTAAATAAATAGTGTTATAATACTTTAAGCTTGAAAATGTTAACTACCACACCTTGCAGTCGAACGTTGTTCTTTTTAAAACCTCTTTTAGTGCGAAGTGGGTACAAGATAGCTTAATAGCCGTTAAAACTCATCGCAACTTTATTTGAATATGTTGAACGGGAAAGCGGTAGTAATGGCCCTTTAGGTATGTCCCTTAAGTGCTGTTGGCGAGTTTTGTTGATGTAAATAAAAACTGTTTATATATTTATAATTAACTTATTTTTGTTTCCTAAAATATTTTGATCAAAAGAAAATATGTAAAAGCGGGCAATACTCTGCCGGTCAAGATTAATCACGTAGCTAAAAGTTTATTTGATATGAACTATAAATAAGTAGTATTTTTAGTAATTTAATGCAAATAAAACTTTCAATAATCAATATAGTTAGTCTGTATTTAACTAACAACTTAAATTATCCAAAATCACTCTAGCTGTTTATTGCCAAAAATAATACAATAGGAGTATTCATACGACCTTTAATATATAAATCACATATGTACATAAAATATTTCCTAAAAAGTGTTTTTATTTTGAACAATCCTTTTATTAAAAACATACTTTCTAATTTATGCATATATTCTATTTGTATTTACTTTCATACACGCTAATTAAAAAAAATGATGTTTTATGTATTAGTTTTATATCAATAAAGAATACCTTGCAATCGTTTTAATTTGATATCTATATAAATAGTATTGATTGGTATTGATTCTGATTTATTAAATTTATTATCTATAACGATTCATTAAATATCGTGCTTCTGTTATAGTCTCTCCAACGACAAGAACCTTGATAGTGATAGATGTGTCTGTCATTTTAATTTCAAAGTAGTTTATTTTATTTTACAAAGAAATACGTTGGTACAATTGGAACGCATAACAGTAAACTTCAAAATATTGTGAAAAAAAAACTGTAGAAAACTGAAAAAATCGAATGGAGTTATTTTATTTAAAAAAAATTACGGTATGTATTAATACAAAACTAGCAAGTGTGTATTTTACAAAACACGACATACAAAAAAATTATAAAAAAGATTTCTTACTTTCAAGCTCAAGCAACTTTTTGACATGCTCCTGCATTTGTTATTACATTTATCAATATAACTTATGTACAAAAAAAATAATAATATTGCAAAGATATAAATAAAACACATCATAAATAAAACAATTCTTTTTATTAATAATAACACTTACTGCATTTTATATCTTAAAAGTTGGTTAATTAACTTTCATCTCTAGGCACCGAATATTAACTGTAAACTATGGTCTGGGTCAACACAATTTTCCCTCGAGTTTTTCTCCACTTAATTTTAAAAAACACGAAACACACGTAATAACGCAGTCCAAAATGCAAAATTCAAAATATTTATCATTTCTGTTTGACACAATTTGACACAAAATTATAACTTTAATTTGAGAGTTTGACAACTCTCAAAACTTCATACGCATCGGCGTCCGTTTGTCGTTTATCGTTCCGCTAAACCAATAATATTGAAATGTGATATGTCATTTTTGAAATAACCCAATAAAACTGGTTAAAAACAACAAGAGACGACGCATGACGGATTTAGTTAACTTAAAAAATATTAGAAACTTTTTTTAGTAAAATAAATGGATTGGTATGGATATCACCTGCTTTTTATCTGTCATCGTCTCAATCGTCTGTTGGAAACTTACCTGAGAAAAAAAATTCTATATTACGTTGTCACGGGAAAAATGTTATTAATGCCTTTTGTTTACTGATGCGTTAACCTTCTGTTTACGGTCATTTTTTTTATGGTGTTGTTAATTCAATATAGGCATGTCTTGGTTAATTTTTACGAGCGAAATAAACTTGCCACCATCAATTAACAATTTTTTGAACTATCATTACTATTATTATGATGTTCTTTTTTTAATATCACGAGATGGCTTTGGTGACTATTGTCGCAATGTCATATCGACACTGATTAGAACTAACTCTATATTAAATATTAAAAAACGCTAAAATGTAACGATACAGGCTTGGTTTTATTAAATATTAGTAACACAAACAGAAATATATAAAAAAACTGTAATAACTAAGTGTACAAACAAACAAAAAACTTGTAAAAAACATTGCCTCCCCCGGCTGCTATAACTGTCTGTAGACGTCGGTTGATACTGTTAATGAGGCTGTAAATATATTGTGTTACGTTTTCCCATTCTTCTTCAAGGACCAAGCGAATATTCATAATTTCGGCCATCTTCTACAAGATCAATGACTTTTGCACAATCTTCGACACTAAGAACCAGATTCAATCGTACACAACAATAATTAACAAAGCCACCTCGTCAGTATGAAGAATAACATCAGAAAGTAACGATAATTGAAAAGATTGCAAAATGTTTGTGGCAAGTTCG